ATTCATCGATTAATCGAAAAAATAATCGGCCGATTCATCGATTTTTAAAATAATCGCTAGTTGCAGCCCTAATTGAAAATATTTCAGTGTATGGCCGGCTTTAATGCATTACCTACAGTAACCATGGAAACAGTAGTGCCGCCTCTATGCAGGTGGCTGCTGGCCTTCTAACCTTTCTTAGGATCCCTGAAACGCTGCGAGGTGAGATGTTGCCGGGGGAGACCGTCAGTCACGTTTAGCTTTTTCCAACAGTTGGATCTTTTCTCACTAAGCTGCCTGTCAGTTACCAAGTAGCCCTTTCTAGATTTCATAAAATGTTTCCTCTGGTGTCTTTGAACGTCTCTTTGGTCTGAGCCATGTTAGTAGCTTCAGTCTAACTGACAGTACGGTGTGTTTATGCTGCCAACAATGCGTCTAATTTAGAAAAATAAGTTGAGACGGACGATTTAGAGGCACACTAACGGGTCTTTGAGGGATTTTTTCTGATTGGCAGGTGGTCAAACTCATTTGTAGCAGTAATATACGTATAAACGATATTTTATGATATTTTCTGGATGTTTTTTTGGGGGGATATGCACCAAAGATAAAAATGTTGCCCCCTCCATGATTTGGAAGCAGGAGAACAGAATCAAAAAGTTTTCAGATATTTTCATGAGGTAAGAACTGCAGTCAAACCTACATAATGTGGGGAGAAGCGCCGGTCAAACTCCCTCTGAGCCAGGATGCCGCCCTGGCCGGGGGCGCTGGTGTAGCCCACCTTCAAAACATCAGAACACAAAATGAATCATCTGATATTTTACACCACAAACACGTCGTGGTGGACTTAAAGGATCAGCTGCTCTTACCACAACCTGCCCTCCTTCCTGGGCCACGTAGCTGACGGAGGCAGAGGTGAAGTTAAAGTACCCAGCCTTCAGGGGGCGCAACACCACCGTATGAGATACGTTGCTCGCTCTGATTTCACGGGTTAAATTGAAAACTTGAAAATGATGGGGGGAAAAAAACAGATCTTTAACACGAAATATGAAATCTAAACAGTCCTCTGAAGGCAGTGAGGTGGTTAAAATCAGGCACCAAGCCGATACCATCCTCACACCTGCTGCCATCTTCAACTGATTTTCTTTGGTTGAAGAATAAAGACAGAAAAAACCAATTAGCTATATTAGCTGACTTAGAGATCGCCAATCAGAGAAGCCCACAGAAACCATGTGGGGATGATCAGTTTATGTCTTATGTAAAATAAACAGCAGCATCCTGGAAGAAGGTTGAAAGATCTTGATTCAAATTAGATTTTTATAGCTTGCTAACGTGTTCATTATGAGAAACAATGGTCACTGCTTTAGAGGGGCAGCATCAGGGAAGATATTTCAGTTCAAGGATACGGAGCAATCCTGTCCCACTTCACATTCAGCATCCCTGATACAATCCCAAAGTCCTCGGGAGGAAAGGAGTCATCAGAAAGCTCCACCTCCAGGGCAGCACTGTGGACAGAGAGAGAGAAAGGACATCAGACCTGACTCCAGCCTCATAGAACCTAAAGGCAGCCCAGCACTGTTCTGATAAAGTTAGTTTATCCTGGATTTAACAAGCCTGAGTCTAAACAGTCAACTTTCCAGAGTTTAGACTGAACCAAACTGTTATCGTTCCTCAGATGGCTCCTAAAAGGAAGAACACTGGACAACTGAGATCATCCTCAGTGTCTTCAGTCAGAGGCTTCAGCAGAGCTGCTGTAAGGCAGACCACTACAGACAACATCTGCAGCCACTGATTGGAGGAAGCTCCAACAATAAGAGGTTCAGCATTTCTTTTACCTTCTGGATGAATGAAGTAACAAGCATTTAAACTGTCAGGAACATAAATCATCAATCAACTAATCCTGTTTGCAGTTTGGAAAAGCTACATTTTTCAATCAACTCCTAGGAGGAATTATTTAATTCAAAGTTTTAGGTAATTTCTGTAGTTTGCAGTTTAATTTCATTAAAGCAAATAGATTAATCAGGTTTGGTAGAAAACTAACTTATTTTATTTTGAAGCTATTCCAATGAGCACCCTGTGCAGCTGCTGACTTTCTGAAAATACTACGACAGCATCCATGTTCTTCAGGCTTTCTAGGAGAAAAAATGAAGCAAAGATTCTCTTTCAGAGCATGGACCCAACTTCATTTTCATTATGGAGGTTTGTCTATAAAAACTAATGTGAACTGTAAACCAGTTCATTTCTGCTTTAATGGTTTGAGGACGGAATCGCATCATCATTTCACAAAAATGCAAAAATATGTTTGCTTTAAACTACGTGTGAAGTGATGCTAAATAAATGCCAGAACAATTTTAAATCGGGCTGGCTAGCTGAAGTAGATGCTGGGTTGGAACCCCCGCCGGGGGATTGAGCTGCCAGCGTGGGTCTTTAGGCAACACACTCCACGCTAATGCCTGCTGTGGATAAAAGCGTCTGCTAAACGCATTAACATTAACTGCAGGAGGATGATTAAAGACTAAACGTCTTTCCATAGAGTCTTACCTAAGGTAACTTTAAAGGTGACAATCCCAGAACCTCAGAGATTTTCTGCTACACAGGCATTGTCCAGCTTTATGTTGTTGTCTCAATACAACTTTTTAAATCTCAGACACAAATAGTGCAGCTCTGAGTATTTACTGAGATCAGCAGGAGTCATGCATAATTTTATCACTCATCGTGTTATGTTAGAAAAGGCCTGATCCAGTGANGTTCAGTATTTTCTCAAGTAGCAACTTTAACTGCTATACTTTCCTGTCTTAAAAGGCAGAACTCTTCTAGTCTAAAAAAACTCATTTGTTGAAATGGGGGGGCCTATTGTTTGAACCCCTTAGGGGCTTTAAAAACAAAAATATCTTTTTTTGCGCTTTATGAAACAAAGTAGCTGAATTTGTTATACACTGATACCTGCAGTAATGCAAATGACTAAATATTGTCTAACTATGTTTAATTTACCAAGTTGATTTTGTTGTCTTTTACTTTTTTTAAAATGTAAATAAACAACAGTTTTTGTTTTTTTTTATGTAAAGAAGAGTTGGAGTCTGGCTTTTAAGACATGGGCTGAGGGGCGGGGATCACAGCAATATGCACAACAATTGATAAACGGGAAATGGAGAGCTTTCAAAATCAAAATAAACAAATTTAATTTCGATAAGCTGATTATTTCAGATATTTACTGACAAGGGATTATTATATAAGAAAAATTAAAATGGGGCAAATTTAGTAATTAAGGTAATAACAGGTGCTAATAAAGAGAAGATGACTAGAGAGATTTCCACACTGTACCAGGCTCTTTTGAAGAATAGGAGAAATTCATCACTTTATATAAAAGAAAAACGGGAAGGAGAACTTTAAAATGAGAGAACAGAGAAAGATTGGTATAATATTGGCAGGATGCAACATTCTACCACCGTTTCAAGAGGGTGACGAGAGTTGAAATGGAAAAACATAATTACATTTTTTTTTTTATAAAGGCTAAAACAAAAGGGAGATTAAAATATTCAACATCGAACGGTTCACATATGTACCTAAGATACAGCAGGGGAATTTTGAAGAAAAAATGTGAAACGTGGATTGAATATAAAATGGGGTAATGACACCATAGGTTAATTAGAATAGAGAATTGATCTGAGACTATTTGATCATATATAATAGTGGATGCCCAAGTCATAACATTGATTTGCGATTGTTGTCTTGATATAAGCTTCTTATGTATTTTTTTTTTCTTGTTAAATCTTTTTTCCTTAATAAAATTTAATTATCAAAGAAAAGAAGACTTGGAGATCACTACTAAATGACTGAATGTTCAACATCAAGTTTGATGACTCACCCCCCCCTTTTTTCCTCTCGCATTATTTTCTTATTTATTTTTTTTTTTAATTGAATGAATTTATTTAACTTTTTTGTCAGTTTGAGATGCATTTTTAAAATACTGTTTACATATTTAATTATTCCACCAATTTGTGTCCTATGTTTTGTTTTTTGTTTGTTCTATATTTTGTACTGTGTACTTTTTAAGACTTGTTCACCTAGACAACTGTCCTCTGGAGCTGGGTAGGTTGGGAAGGAGGTTTAGAAAATTGAAAATTATAGTTTTGCCTTTTATGTTGAACTGCTATGTCATGGTCTGTAATGCTTTTTCAAATAAAGAAAGTGGATTATATAAAAAAAAAAAAAAAACTTAGCTGTACAAAATGTTAATAACAGCTTTGCTAAGAGAATAAATGTCTTTACATCCATGATGTGATATAATTAATTTGGAATTGATCAGTCCTGGAAATGCGATCTCTGCCCAAACTATGGTAGCACATTTCTCAGCTTTGGATTTGTAAATAATTGTTTTGGTATTTGTTTTTTTTATTTGGATTAAATTTTACATGTTTAGGATATAGTGCATAATCTAAAGAACGACACAACTATACAGAAAAAAAAAATCAAACATCAGAAAAGCAATAGACTGGGGGAAAAATGTAAAATGCATCCATTCTCTCAGCAAAGTTGTTTGTATCATTTTATACATTGTAGTTTAGCATGCTTTTAAGGATAGAAATAAGTAATGATGACAACCTACCGTAATTAACATTATTTAATTTCCACCTGGATCACTTTCTGTTTGCGCGGTTTCAAATGAGCTGATGGTAAAGATCATGCTTCCAGTGCAGATATCGTACTGACATCCCAATATGACAGATTCAGGGGGAGGAAAGGTCTTAGTCTGTGAGGATAAGGCTACAGTACCCTTTTTTTTTTTTTTTACTTTCAGGAGAAATAGCTGCACAAAGTAGCACCAAAGGTGATACGAATGGAAAACTTTATTTTTCTTAACATGAAATGACATGTCTTAGTGTGATATACCTGTAAATAAAGAATATATACATTCAAAAATACTTTGCAAGTCTTATAAACTAACAGTTTTTTTCACCAAGCAGTATGCTACCTTTTTTATTTTAGGATACATTCAGAAGTTTGATATGTTTATGGTGGAAAAGTGGCCCCTGATTCAATCGTTCGCCCTTGAAGGCATAGGTGGAGGAAGCTTTTTCACGCTCAAATACGAGGTATTGCTAAACCAAAGTCAGAAATCCAATGATTTAAAACATCTGAAATAGTTTTGTAATATTCTACTCCCTGTTTTTTTCATATTTTAATCATACAGGTAGTTGATATGAGTGAGAAGCTGTGGCAGGTTTACAACAAACTTGATCCTGTGTCCCTGGATAATCTGTTAACTGAGGTAAGATTAAGTTTGATTTTATAAGATGCAGCCTAATTAACACAAATTAACTGTAGAACAAAAGGACATTTGTTATCCTTGTTCATCTTCAATGTCTCAGTTAAAAAATGATTTTTTTATGCATCCAAGGAAACACAGCACTTTAAGCGCAGCTTTTTGCCATTTTTAATTGTTGTGTTAGTGATGTGAAGAAGGTCAAATGAATGATTAAACTATATTAAGTGTCAATGGTACAATATAATGCTTTTTGGATTTAAGGGCTTGGCAGGCTTTGAGAAGCAGTGGAGTTTCTTCTTCTCCAGAATCGACCTAGAGAGTCACCTGTCCATCTTGGATCTGTCTGAGGCACAGGCAGGACAGGTATGTTAACCGGCTCTTGGTACCACAAAACCTGTCAATCTTCTAATAATGATTAATTACTTGACTGCCTTTTAACCATTAGTCCACATTCATCAGTAGGACATGTTGATATACTGTACAGTTAAAAAAAAAAAAAAAATCATAAACCAAGCAGATTTAAGCTCATGGTTATCCTTAAGTTTGTAATGTTTTTCTTCTAACTTGAAGTCAACTGAATAAATGACCCAAAAATATTATTGATGGCAATAATAATAATAATTAACAATATATGTAATGGTATTGTTGAATTCTGTTACACAGTAAAATAAAGTTAAAATAATCACACTTTAGAGGACATTTGGTCCCCCTACCCATTGTCCATTAGCCCTACATACAAAGAGGAATTGGGACACCACTACCCCCCTGGGAACAAGCACAATTCAGGGGTAGGGCTAAAAAGTAGGGTTTGGGATCTTTGGGGATTGGGCCTTGATCTTAGTCCACTGTAGTCTGTTCATGTAAACCTGCTTCCCCTTACTCTCAAAACGCATTTGGTCTGAATGTAGCATCACAGTTTTAGAAGCTATTTTAAAGTGAACTGTTTTCTACAAATACCGGTAAGTCTACTAAAGCGAGCAAAAGATCACAGAAAATATTTGTAGACAGAAACCTTTGCTAAAGCTTTCTGCCTCTGTTATGTAACTTTCTGGATTTGAAAATTTGCCTCATTAGCTCTTTGTTATACACTCTGAGGATACATTTTCAGATGTTCAGGGCATCAATAACAGCAGACTTACATGGCATAAAATTCTTTGTCATCCATTCATAGGCTTTCCGTTTGTTCTACTCTCATGGACTGATTTCAAACAACATATCAGATAAAAGGTATCTTTATATAATTTCTTAAACACTAAATTCCTGGTTTATCTGGGAATAATGTATAATGTATTAAATAATAGAAATCTTCTGGATCGATCATTTTTATTTTGTTTCCTTTTCATTTCAGCAAAAGTCGGCAGCCTTTTGTGCTGTTTGGAAAGCACTCTTCCTCACATGATCTGGAGAGCATTTCATTTAACTTTCCTTCAGAGAGTCATCAGGTTCGCAACACAGGGCCTCAAGGTTCAACAGCCAAACACATGGTGAGTAGCAGCACGGTAAATCACTGCAAGCTGACACACTACAGTAAATACTCTGGTTTCCTCACCAGCTATTTGTCATGCTCAGCAGATCAGGCTGAAACTCCATAGCATTTTGCCTCCTCTGCCCATTATCTTCCCACATTTGTAGCAATATGAGTCAGTGAGAAAATACATTTAATTTGGCTGCATGTGTGACTGATAAATATTCAATAAACTTGACTACAGTGAACAAAAAAAAAAATCTAAACTGTTGATTAATTAAGTTAGAAAAAAAGGCTCCAGCACCATCTGGTGATATAATCCAGAACAACAAGTGGTGCTGGACAGCAGAGAAATTCTCTTGTGGCATAAAAACTAATGACTGATGCTGTTTTTAAAGCTGCAAATAATAATCAAAACATTCTGCAGTTTAAACTGTGTCTGGCATGTTTGAAACCAAACTTTCCGTCTCTTAGATTCTGCAGTGTGTGGATGCTACAGGACCTTTGGCCTGTTCACGAACATATTTCTTTGGGACTACTCATACTCCATATCTTGGTGAGTTCCTCAGAGTGAAATAACAAAATGCTTTAGTTAGTTTGGATAGAATATGTTTTTCTGTTTTTATTGATTTTTATGCATTAAACAACAAAGTGATTCTTGATTACTTTCATAACAAAGAACATTTTTCATAAATTTGACACAAGAGTCCTTTATTTGCAGAGTTAAAAGTTTTAAGAAGGATGGACAGTGGGGAATGCATGCAGCATAGGTCGTATAGATTTTTTGTAAGCGCCCAAGTATTTCATTTTTTTTTATGTATTACAGTAGTAGCCATTCAAAACTTCCCCACTTTCCCTGATGGACCCTTGGCTGGTCCCCTACAATTCCTTTTTAAACATCAATCTTTGTATTAAAATATTCTTTCTTTCATGATTTGAGGACATTAAGATCTAAAGAGAAGTGCCTTCTACTGGTCAGACCCTGTAAAGCAGTGAAAGGGTGGAGTCGGAGTAAAAGAAATATCAATACCCATGAGAAGGAGGGGGGGGGTCACTCCAGTGGCTGGAAGTTGAAGGGGATTTTGCTGGGAGTTGCAAGGAAGTGGGCTGCCATTCAGCTGGCGTTTGACTGGCTGCTACTGTAGCAGCCTATATTTGTAAAGGGGATGAAAAGTAGGATTTTGAATACACTTTACAAAAATAATTCTAAGGAGTGTAGCATGCTTTTATACTTAGTCCTATTTAGCTGATTCCAGTAAATAAAGTCCTGGGCAGTTAACTGGAGTCCACATGTGGGTAATTTTAGTCCATTGTAATTCCCACTGTTCTACAAAGGCCCAAGAGGTTTGTTAGTGAACATTTTCAAAGAAACAGTACCATAGTGACCAAGGAACAATAGCCTAAAGCAGAATTAGAATATTAAATAATATCTCAAGGCTGGACAACATCAAATAGCATTGATCAGTCTCTCATCAGTAAGACTACTAAGCTATAAAACTTTCCAATCCAAGCTTAAAGGTCAGGCAGTTAAAACAGTGATTGGAGAAGCTGCAAAGTGAAGTGCCCCATGGTTACAAGCCAAGAGAGAGAAACTGTGAACAGATTAATTATTAGTTGTTCACTGCACCTTAATGGAAAACTGGCTTTGTCGTTTTGTAAATAAAGCTGTATCCATTCTAGTGTACTGTTATCCAAAATCCCTCTAACATAAACAGCAAACATGAGAAAACATGGCGATCTAAAACTGTCATGACTTAACAAACCATTGTACCCGTGAAAGCTGGTAGTGGTAGTATCATGCTGAGGGGAAGCTTTTATTTTGTGCTGATTATCAAAACCAGTGCACATGAATACAGGATGCAGCATGATAGTTGAAGCTGTTGTTGAGTGATGCTACAAGCAGAGCAACGTTACCAGAGCTACAGTGGAATGATTCGACGTTTTGAGATTGTCCAGTGGGGGTCCTGTAGATGTTCTCCATCCACTCTAACACCGCCTGATTACTTTTACAACAAAAACGGGTAAAAATACAAAAGCTGTCATGTAGAAAGCTGACAGAGAGATGCCGCCAAAAGGATCTAAGGTTGCATTTACAGTACTTCTTCACTAAGCTGGATTATTCTTACAGGCATTCAGATGACGGAGCAAAAGAAAACAGAAGTTCTGTAAGTTTTTGTTTTTTAATGATCCATTTTTCTTGTGTTTATTTAAATATTTCATAATATAAAAAGTGTATTTCGTCTCTTGTCTTGTTTTTAGAGTTACATCACAGGTTTACTCTGCTGCTGTTCAGGGTGTCTTGTCTGGAATAAAATGCTACTCTAGGACCTCTAGTTATACCAAGGTAAGTAGAAAGCACTCTGGTTTTTCATCCTGTGGTAAAACATGAACATTTCTTCTCATCTATCAATATACCTTAGGCTAAAGATGTTGCTGTGAACACGTTTCTTCTATCGTTGGACTCGATGAATTTAGGCCACTATCGTAGTCCTTTGGGGTAGGGATTTTCTAACATCGGCACTGAGTATACGATTCAAACCTTCATTCTAAACCTCTTCTCGCATGTTGATGCTCCAACAGGTCCAGATGTGAATTCAGCATTCAAGCTGTGAATAATCGAGGAATGTAGGTTTTGCTCATTTTGTATTATTTGTCATGTTTGGATATTTATATTGCCAGTTCACTGATCATCCTTCATTTTATGTTTTTTAAATAAAATTTTTATAATACATGTTTACAGAGGGAATTTTGTTATTTTCTGGTTAGAAGCAATTAACATGTTTTGAAAATAAATATGTTTTAAAAAAATTAGAAATCCAGAAATTATAATCAACAAAAAATTTTGAGAGCAACTTTTTTTTTTTAACAAAAAAAAATTGCACAGATTTTGTATTTTTTCTATATTTGGGTTTCCGGAATTAGTTTTACAAACTGCATTGAAAAGAAAACATTGATTTCACTCTAATTCCAATACGAACGCAGATTGACCAATGCAGTGTTTCTAACATCCAACACACCAATAGAAATGTGTCATTGCTCCTCACTCCAGAAGAAAGCCCTCCCCCAGAGGGGAGAAGGATATGATCATAAGATAATTTGAAAATAATTACATTTGTAAAACTCAATCTGGAATACAGAATTTTGAATTTATATTCAAATATAAAAATTAAACAATACATTGAAATAATTAAATATCAAATATAAATTTGAAAAAATTTAAAAAACAAAATCTGAGAAAGCAGTAAAGTTACTGTTCAACACTAGTTTTGTATTAGAAAAAAAACATGAATTATAATTAAACCTACAAAAAAAAAGAAGAATAATTAAAATTAAAATGTTTTTCAAAGTTTCATTTCTGTGTTGCATTTTCTTTCTTTTTCAATGTCCGTTTACCAAACATTTTCTTTTCTTGCTATAATATAAATGTCACAAAATTCAAATTAAAGATATATTGCTTATAACCTAAAAGGCTTTGTTTTGCTAATTTTCAGTATAATTCCTCTGACTGATGAGGACAGCTGTCATCTAGTCAAAACAGTAAGATTAAACAATCAGTATGTGTATATATATATGTGTGTATATATATATATATATATATATATATATATATATATATATATATATATATATATATATAT